CTGGTTTGTAGATGGTCATCTTCTCATTGAATCTGCCTTAGGCAGAGAGCAGAAAGAGCTCTGGTCCATTTATCTCTTTATAAGGACACCATTTACCTCCCAAAGGCCCCATCTCCTAATACCATCACAAGGGCAGTTAGAATTTCAACATATGAATTTTGGGAATACACACAAACATTCAGTCCCTAATGTCCTACAACTCAATAACAATAATAACCAAACAACCAGATTAAAAAATTGGCAAGGGACTTGAATAGACATTTCTCCAAAGAAGATATACAAATGGATATACAAATGCAAATCACCTCATGCCTGTTAATGTGGCTTTTATTAAAAAAAAAAAAAACAGAAAATAACAAGTGTTGACAAGAATGTGGAATAATTGGAACCCTTGTGCACTGTTGATGGGAATAAAAATGTGCAGCCTTTATGGAAGACAGTATGGTCATTCCTTAAAGAATTAAAAATAGAATTATCATATGACCCAGCAATTCCACACCTGGGTATATCCCCAAAAGAATTGAAAGCAGGGTCTTGAAAAGATTGGTATACTCATGTTTATAACAGCATTATTCACAAGAGCTAAAAGATGGAAACAACCCAAGTGTCTATCAATGGGTGAGTGGATAAACAGATGTGGTGTATTCATACAATGGAATATTAGCCTTAAAAAGAAAGGAAATTCTGACATACGCTACAACATAGATGAAGCTTGAGGGTGTTATGCTAAGTGAAATAAGCAACTCATAAAAAGACAAATACTGTATGATTCTACTAATATGAAGCCCCTAGAGTAATCATATTTATAGAGACAGAAAGTAGAATGGTGGTCACCAGGGGCTGAGGAAGGAGGGAATGGGGAGTTGTTTAATGGGTACAGTGTTTCAGTTTTGCTAAATGGAAAAGTTCTGGAGATGGATGGTGGAGATGGTTGTACAGCGTGGTCGTACTTAACACAACTGTACACTTAAAAATGATTAAAATGGTAAATGTTATGTAATGTGTATTTTACTCCATTTTAAAAAATCATTCAAAATCTCCTTTTAAATGGTTAAACATTCAGAACTTGAAGCTCCTAGAAAGCAAGATCCTTCTAAGAGGTCATCAGGCACACTTATGCTAAAAGATAGTGGAGTGGCTCCTTCAGTATTCTGAGGGAAAAAGATTTTGGACCTTGAGTGATAGTCTCAGCCAAGGTAACAATCAAACGAACACAAAGTAACAATATTTTAACACGTGAGAAATAAAAATATTTTCTAAACCAATTTACTTGAGAACACATAAATATGGAAAATACTCTATCAAACTGAAAAAAAAAAATACAAGAAAGAGGGAGGAATGGAATCCAAAAAACAAGAAAGCAGTAAAGAGAGCTCTAATGACAGCAGTGCAGCAAGCCTAGAAAGTAGCCAGTCCTGAGTAGGTCAGAATGTCAAAGACCTCTGGGAGTGATGATTTTAAGAAAAAAAAAAAAAAAAAAAAAAAAAAAAAAAACAACACAAAAAAAAAAAAAAAGATGACTCCCTGCAACAGCTAATATCATTAAAGAAATGGGTGTATACCAGGAAGAAAAAAGAAAAGCAGTGAGAAACCCCAGGAAAAACAAAAAGTTACACAAGCAAGTATTGGTCCAAGTTGAAGCAAACTAAAACTATGGCATGATTTTGAAAATTGATAGTGTGAGAAAGGGCACTGCAATAAAAATATGTGGCTTTTAGGGGCTTATATTTAGTTATACAGGATTACATTCAATTCCTTTATTATGCAGTGAATACATATGTCTAGTCATAATAATGATATTGCCTTTAAAATTTTTTTATTTTTATTTTTCAGAATTAACTTATTAACCACCACAAAGACTTAATTGTGGTTGCAGAATATACATACATACATGTATGTATAAAATAAATTCTGGAGGGCAGAAGTGGTGAAAGGAGAGGTGGAAGCAAATATGGGGCACTAGTTTCACCAAGTTTCTTCTTTCTTTCTTAGTAAGAACACAAGAAATATTCTCTAAATTTAATGCCATAAAAACTGTTTCATTTTTTTTAAGTTAGACAAAGGTAGCTAACTGAATATAACCATTGAAATTGGGAGAAAGTGTAGGGAGGGTTATTTGTAGGTAACAATCCTTCAAAATTTGGGGGTTAAAAATTCGTGAGCTAAAATCCACATCTGTCATAGCAGGAATTCATAAGTAATGTGTAATGTTGACATATCAAGAAATAAAGATGTATGCATAATTTGTAGAGTATTTAGGTTAACTAACCATTCTGGTTCACTAAACCATAGCAACTAAAACCAGTATCTATTTAAGAGAGTTGCCTCTGGGAAGTGGGGTTAGAAGAGGATGCAGAAGGACACACAGGATATTTGCTTCTCTTTTTAAACGCTTGGCTTCTGTTAAACACCTTTTTTTCCCTAGCAGACATGCATTATTCTGCTTCTCAAAACTTGTAAAATGACTGCCTGATTGGCCATTATGGATAGAATAACTCATAGAAGCTTAAAATATTTAACCATTCTTTGTGTCGTGGAGCATTTAGGATACGTCCCATTTGTGTTATTTTATATAATGTTCTTTAAAACAGCCTTATATATAAATAAATCTTCATGCATATTTCTGGATCAAACCAACCTGTGTATAAGCTTTTATGCCTATTTTTGAATTATCTCCTGAGGAGTGAATCCTGGATATGAAATCACTAGGTTAAAGGGGTGAACATTTTAAAGCCCCTTGTTATGGACACAGACACTTTTTCCCTTTCATTTTTGAGTATAGGCATTTTGGTGAGAGCACTCCAAAGGATGAAAGTATCATAAAAATCTTAGTCTCTTTTAGTCCAGGCCTGTTTTCGAGGTCACGTTCTGAAGAAATGACTGGGTTACGGTCACCACGTAGCATCTCCCTTTCTGTACCAGTGGAGTGGCCTTGGGTCACCCAACCCACAAAGGAAAGCAGGGCCAGAATCACTCACATTTAGTCAGTGGGTGCCATGGGTTAGGCCCTCTTCTAGTGACTTCATTGGACTTTGTTCATGTCTCATGTTTAATCCTCAGTACAACCTTTGGAAGACTCTTGTCTCTGTCTTACAAGGGAAGAGCAAAGGCAAGGAGAGATGAAGTGATTTGCCTCAATGCCACACGGCCAGTAAGTAGCAGAGATGGGTCCCACACCCAGTGGTCTGAGTCTAGAGCCCAAACTTCACTCTCTGTGCTGTTACAAGCCTTTATCTGTGAGAAGCAAGTAGGCTGGGTCAGCCCCGGTCAGTGTCCACAGGAAGAGTGTAATCACACAAGGGGAGAACGCATCAGCATCTTCTTAAGCTTCTAGCACATTGCCTGGTACACAGTGGACACCCAGTACCTATGTGTCGACTAAATAGATAAGCCAAACTTTACACCAAACTCCTCTGCATTATTATTTTGTTTAATCTTCATGCTGTGAGGTATTTTTATCCCCATGTTACAGATGAGAGAACTGAGGTTTCCAGAGGTCAAGTCACTTGCCCAAAGTATAGAGCTGTTTCGATAGAGGAGGCAGTGTAATTCAGGCCTGTAGGTTTTTTTTTTGGCTGTGTTGGGTCTTCGTTGCTGCATGCGGGCTCTCTCTAGTTGCAGCGAGCGGAGGCTACTCTTCGTTGCGGTGTGCGGGCTTCTCATTGCGGTGGCTTCTCTCTTGTTGCAGAGCACAGGCTCTAGGCTGCTGGCTAGAGTAGTTGTGGCACGTGGGTGCAGTAGTTGTGGCTCGCGGGCTGTAGAGTGCAGGCTCAGTAGTTGTGGTGCACGGGCTTAGTTGCTCCGCGGCATGTGGGATCTTCCCAGACCAGGGCTCGAACCCGAGTCCCCTGCATTGGCAGGCAGATTCCTATCCACTGCACCACCAGGGATGCCCCAGGCCTGTAGGATTTGAAACCAGAGCTGTTTTTATTTTGCTCAAAGTGTCTTTGGGAGAATTCAAGAAGTTAATTCTTGTGAAACCCTTAGCCTAGGGGTTCTCAAAGGGTAGGAGCTTCCCCTGGGAGCTTCCTAGAAATGCCTCTTCTCGGTTCCTGCCCCAGGTCTAGTGACTCAGAATCCCCTAGGGAGGGGCCCAGCAATTTGTTTCCACAGACCCTGCAGGTGATTCTGATGTGAGCTCCGACGTAGGAGCACAGCCTTAGCCCCAAGCCTGCCCCATGCTGAGTGCTTAGGAAGATGGCAGCTGCTGCTGTCTTTGACATCACGTTCTAGATCCCAAAGAAATGGTGGAGGGAGGGGAGGAATGTGGGGTGTCTAGAACTTACTGCTTCTCACAGTTGGTATTTGGTGCCAGTCCCTTCTGGCCCATCAGTGGATTCACACTGTTCCCAGGATGTCGGTGACTGGAGCCTGGAGGAAGCCTTTGAGGAGAGAGTACACTGGGCACATTAAATGAAGCTCACGTGAACTCTCGAGCTCCCCCTGGCTGGTCATTTACTGGACTGCCTGGCAGCTGGCCTGCCTCCTGCTGTGTGATGCCTCCCCAGGCACGTGCATCCTCCAGAGTGATCCTGAAGTCCAGAGTGGGCTGCACCCCTAATGGGACGTGTTCCCAGGGCGGGGGGGAGCGGACAGCTTTGAGGGAAGTTGAGGGCACCATGGATTCTTCCTCTGCCCTCTGCAGAATTCTGCCCGACTCAAAACATTTCACAGATCCTTAGTGCTGCCTTAGGTTTGTTACATATTTGATTTGAGAATTTAACATTCCTGAGCACCTGTGATGTGCCAGGCTTGGGGTGGTTGGTCCTACTGTGTGCAAGCCTCCATGCTCAGTTCCTTGAAGTGCTTGCCCCATTTAACTTGGGCCCAGAGAGGTCCAGCAATGGTCTCAAGGCAACCAGCTAATGGGTGGCAGAGCTCGGTCTAAGCCCAGGTCGGTTTCACTAACTCTCTGCTTGTTCTGCTTTAACGCAGTTGTAACCTGACTTGAAAAATGTAAAGTGTGGCCACAAACAAATCTCCCTCTCTTATCCCCATAGGTTCTACCAAACCACGGCCTCCACGCAGCAGGGTTCTTCGTGGCCTTCATCCTCTCCCTGGTGCTGACCTGGGCTGTGCTTTTCTTCATGGTTCGATATCAGTGTTTGAAGGGAAGCATGCTTACCAGACACCAGGTGGGAGTCCATGTGCATCCTCTCCCTGGAGGGTAGTTGGTTGGTGGTAGATGTGAGGTTGAAGTTTATCCTTCAGTTCAGTCAGTCTCAACTCTGGACTGATGTCAGGACCCCCAGGGAACCGTGAGGCATGCTCATACCCAGGCCCTCCTGCACAAACTCTGACTGCTTTGTCCCGGGAGGCATGCCCAATCATTAGTAGTTTTTAAAAGCTCCCTGGATGATTCTAACAAACGACCAGGATTGGGAACCCCTGCAGTCTGACTGAATAACTGAGGGCCCACCTGTATGGCCAGCTGTGCATTCATGCCACACCCTGACTCAGGTCCTGGTCTACACTTCCCTCTGAAAAGTCTTTGAAGACTTACTTTGTTTGACCTCAGGGTGAAGCCCAGATGCCTTAGCATAGCTTATAAAGAAAGTCCCCTGTGGTCCAGCTTCACACCTCAACTTCCAGCTCTACCCAATGATTGCTGAGCTCTCCACACTCACCTGGATGCTTTTATAATCCTCTCTCCGCTCTTCAATGAGCAGAACTCTGACGCATCCTTTAAGACTCATCTCGGGCCTTGCCTCTCCTTGGAAGTCATCCCTGGCCACTTCCTGGCCAAGTTAGGGACTCTCTCTCTGGGTTCCTGCACTAGCTTTTGGACCCCACCCAGCATTTATCCCCACCTGTGAACTCCTCAATCTCTGTTTTCCTGTCTTGGCCTGGGTTCCCACAGAAGCACATCCTGAGACTAGGATCCAAATGCAAACAGTTTATATGGGAAGTGATCCCAGGAAGTAATGGTAGGGGGTGGGGAAGTGAGGCGGGAAGGGAAGGCAGTCAGTCAAGCTACCACTGTGGGCACCTGGGGCTTTATCCCACCCGGGATAAAGCCTCAGGGGAGAAGGAGCTGGGGTATTTAGCCATCAAATCCCATTGGTCATTGGTTGAGGACAAGGGGGTGAGGGGGCCAGGACAAAGGGTAACGTTATTTCCTTGGCATGGGCTCTGAAAGCCAGCAGGAGCCTTCAGGGGAGGAAGCAGCATAGGTGTTGGCTGGTGGATCTTGGGCTAAAAGGCACTGAACGGCAAGGGCGAGGGGACGTGGATGAAGCATGGATGCTGGCTGCTGTAATCCCCATTGCCTGGTACACAGCCTGGCGCTTAGAAGGCACTCAGTAAACATGTGAAGGAATGAATGAGCCCCCAGCCAGAGGATGGGCAGACAGAGGAAGGAGAGCGGGGCACAGTCCTAGGGTGAGAAGGCACTGCTGGGACTGAGCACCCTGGTAGGTTGTTTGTTCCTTCAGGGCCATGGAGGCTGCAGCTGCTGTGACTCTGTCACCCAGAGGTCCAGCAACTTGAAAGGAACATCTATCATCTTTCTCCCTCACCGTACAGTGAGGAAACTGAGGCCCTTGAAGCTCAACAGCCTGCTTCACGTGGCCGAGTGTAGGCTGGACCTGGCTTCCGAGGACCACCCTGCCGCCCTCTCTGGAGGCTGGCAGTCCTGTCCCATTGTTCATTTTGTTTCTGCTTCCTAGAGAAGAGAGTTGTTATTTCAAAGTGAGGTCAGCCCACAGTCTCCTTGGCAGGCAGAAGTGAGGAAAAGGAAAATGGCCCATCTAATAAGACATTTTACTTACTCTCCCAAAGCTGTTATCAATCACAGAAGAACAGAACTCACCCTGCTACTTTGATGAAGGAGCAGGATTCATTTCTTGGAGATTAAAGGCTGATTGTTACAACCGCGGGAGGAAAGCAAAGTGTGAATTTGACTTAAGGTCTGAAGCCTCTTATAGATTTTTTTTTTTCCAACATCACAAAACGAACTCTCTTCACATTAAAAAAATTTTTTTCCATTGTGGTAGTGACCAAGGAGACAACATGCTGTAAACAGAAGGCAGCCTTTAGAGTCAGATAGACTTTGGGTCAAAAACCAAGCAGGCTCTTTATGAGCTGTGTGAACTCAGATAATGTCATTTCATCTCTCTGAGCTGCAGTTCCATATGCGTAAAGTGGGGGCATCAACACTGACTTTGTGTGACGGTTTCATGGTACGACACATACAAGGCACAGGGACAGGAATTCTTAAATGTTAGTTATAATTATCATGCATTTCTGCAGAAATAATGATGATAGTGAGCAAAACAGATATATCATCTACCCAATCGAAGGGTTGAGCTTAATTATCTCTGATGTCACTTCCATGTGACAACTCTATAGTCTGATTAGAAACCAGCCAGATCCATGAGGTTGAAGTCCATCTGCCAAGTGTAATTTTCCTCTGCATGATGATGATGATGATGGGGATGATGATGATGGGGATGATGATGGTGATGGTGATGGTGATGGTGATGATGTTGGTGATGATGGTGATGGTGATGATGATGGTGGTGATGATGATGGTGATGGTGATGATGGTGATAATGGTGATGATGATGGTGATGGTGATGATGATGGTGGTGGTGATGATGGTGATGGTGATGGTGATGATGGTGATAATGGTGATGATGATGATGGGGCTGGTGATGATGATGGTGATGGTGGTGATGTTGGTGATAATGGTGATGTTGATGATGGGGATGGTGATGATGGTGATGATGATGTTGGTGATGGTGATGATGTTGGTGATAATGGTGATGATGGAGATGGGGATGGTGATGATGGTGGTGATGATGATAGGGATGGTGATGATGTTGGTGATAATGGTGATGATGATGATGGTGATGGTGATGATGATGGTGGTGATGATGATGGTGAAATATTTTTATTACATCTTTATAGTTATAAAGGTCTTTCCATCCATTGCTCTGCTTTATCCATACAACAAGCCTGTGCAGGGCTACCAGAATTATTATCCCGCTTCTTTGATGAGAAAATGAGGCTCAAGGAAGTGCAATGTCTTGCCTGAGTCTTAGCAGCTCGCAAGTGGGTGGGGCCAGCTAGGTTCTCTGACTGCAGATCCCCACCTACCCTCATGACTTTTCCAGCTTGTGACATTCACAAGAAGGCCTACTCAATTGTGGTTTCTGAAATTCTCCTGAAGGTTCAGCATCACGAGAGCAAGCTGGAGCGCTCCCAGTTCACCTCAGCTGATGGTATGAATGAAGATATCGTGCTAAATGACCAAATGATAGACATTCTGTCTTCAGAGGACCCCGGGAGCATGCTTCAAGCCTTAGAAGAGTAAGAATTCTAAGTCACATTATACTTCCATGGATATGATGAATGTTTTACCTATAGCAGCATGAGAGCAAACACTGAGTGTATTTCATTCATTAATTCATCCTATTAATCATTAATTTGTCATTCAGTAGTCATAATCTAACAACTGCCATACCCTGAACACTATGCTTGGTATTTGAGAAAAGAGATAAGACATAGGTTGAGCTGTGAGGCAGTCTGACCTAGTAGGAAGACAAACACAGAAACAGAAGTGACCATAAAAGTTTGATGAGTACCATGCTAAGATCGGGACTAGCTGAGCCCAGAAGAAAAAGTAATTACCTCTGAGTGGGTCATGGAGGTGCTTCCCTGAGGAAGAGATATTTTAACTAATTTTTGAAGCATGGGCAGAAGTTTTTCAAGTAGATGAAGGGAGGAGAGGCTTTTCAGGCAGAGGAAAGACAAGACAGATGCCAAGATAGGAAGTGAACAAGATATGTACATTTGGTGAAGTGTAAGGAGCTCAGTATGATTGATATGTGGATTGGAGTATTGAGTAGTGTATTGAAGGAGAGGAAGTAACACATTGAGAGAGAGGCCAGACCAGATGATGTGATTATTGGCTAAACTGAATTCAGTTCTTTTTATTTTATTTTAAATTTTTGTCTATTTATCTATCTATAATTTACTTTTACAGACAGGACCTGAATATCTTTATTTTATTTTATTTTGAGGTACTGTTGGTTTATAACATTATATATTTCACATGTACAACATTAAATATTTCTGCTTCTGTATACCCTGCAGTATGTTCACCACCAAAAATTTAGTCTTCATCCATCACCATACAGTTGATCCCCTTTATCCATTTTGCCCTCCCCCACCATTCCTCTGTGGTAACCACTATTCTGATCTCTGTATATACGTGTTTGATTTTGTTCATTTATTTTGTGTTTTTGTTTGTTTATTTTCTATATTCCACATATGACTGAAATCATATGATATTTTCTTTCTCCACCTGACTTATTTCACTTACATAATACCCTCAAGGTCCATCTATGTTGTTGCAAATGGCAAGATTTCATCTTTTTATGGCTGAGTAATATTCCATACACATATCACATCTTTATCCATTCATCTGTTAATGGGCACTTAGGTTGCTTCCATATTTTGGCAGTTGTAGTGATGCAGTGAGCATAGGAGTGAATGTATTTTTTTCAAATTAATGTTTTCATATTCTTTGGATAAGTACCCAGAAGTGGGATAGCTGGATTATATAGTGGTTCTGTTCTTTTTTTTTTTGAGGAATCTCGATACTGTTTTCCATAATGGCTGCACCAATTTACATTCCCACCAACACTTGTTATTTCTTGCCTTTTTGACAATAGTCATTCCAACAGGTGTGAGGTGATATCTCATTGTGGTTTTAATTTGCATTTCCCTAATAATTCGTGCTATTGTTTTCATGTGCCTGTTGGCCATCTGTATGTCTTCTTTGAAAAAATGTCTATTCAGCTCCACCCACTTTTCAATTGGGTTGTTTTGTTGTTGAGTTGTATCTGTTCTTTATATATTTTGGATATTACTACTTATCAGATATATTGTTTACAAATATCTTCTCCCATTCCATAGGTTGTCGTTCGGTTTTGCTGATAGTTTCATTTCCTTTGCTGTGCAGAATCTTTTAGTTTGGTGTAGTCCCATTTGATTATTTTTGCTTTAGATTCCTTTGCCTGAGGAAACATATCTGGAAAGATATTGTTAAGACCCATGACCAAGAGCATACCACCTATGTTTTCTTCTAGGAGTTTTATGGTTTCAGGTTTTACATTTAAGTCTTCAATCCATTTTGAATTGATTTTGGTGTATGATATGAGATAGTGATCTAGTTTCATTTTCTTTTTTTTGCATGTGGCTATCCAGCTTTCCCAACACCATTTATTGAAGAGACTGTCCTTTATCCATTGTATGTTCTTTGCTCCTTTGTTGTAAATTAATTGTCCATATATGCATGGGTTTATTTCTGGGCTCTCAATTCTGTTCCATTGATCTATGTATCTGTTTTTGTGCCAGTACCACACCGTTTTGATTACTATGGCTTTGTAATATAGTTTGAAATTAGGGAGTGTGATACCTCCAGCTTTGTTCTTTTTTCTCAGGATTGCTTTGGCTATTCAGGGTCTTTTGTGGCTCCACATAAATTTTAGAATTTTTGTTCTATTTCTGTGAGAAATGTCCTTGAGAGTTTGATAGAGATTGCATTGAATCTGTAGATTACTTTAGGTAATATGGATGCTTTAACAATGTCATTCTTCCAACCCACTAGCATGGAATATCTTTCCATTTATTTGTGCCTCCTTCAATTTCTTTCAACAGTGTTTTATAATTTTCAATGTACATATTTTCACTTCTTTGGTTAAATTTATTCTTAGTTATTTTATATTTTTTGCTGTGATTGTAAATGGGACTTTTTTTCTTAATTTCTCTTTCTGGTAGCTCATTGTTAGCATATAGAAATGCAACAGATTTTTGTATGTTGATTTTGTACCCTGCAATTTTATGTGTTTGTTTATTATTTCTTTTAGTTTTTTGGTGGAGTCTTTAGGGTTTTCTATGTATAAAATTAGGTCATCTGCAAATAGTGACAGCTTTACTTCTTTCTTTCCAATTTGGATAACTTTAGTTTTTTTCTTCCCTAATTATTCTGGCTAGGGCTTCCAATACTGTGTGAAATAATTTCTCCCCTTTAGGTCTGTTAATAATTGTTTTATATATTTTGGTGCTCCTATGTTAGGTGCATATACATTAATAACTGTTATGTCTTCTTAGTGAATTTTCCCCTTTATAATTATATGCTGTTCACTTTTGTCTCTTGTTACCTTTTGGGCTTGAAGTCTAGTTTGTCTGATATGAGTATGGCTACACCCCCTTTTTTGGCTGTCATTTGCTTGAAGTATCATCTTGCATCCCTTCACTTGGAACATGTGTTTGTCTTTAGAGCTGAGATGGGTCTCCTGGAGGTAGCATGTAGTTGGGTCTTGTTTTTTAATCCATCCAACCACTCCATGTCTTTTGATGGGTGAATTCAGTCCATTTACATTTAAGTTTATTATTGATAGATGAGGAGTTAGTACTGCCATTTTATCTTTTGTTTCTGGTTGCTCTGTCTCTCCACTGTCTTCTTTCCCCGTGTTTCTGTCTGCCATTTTGATTTGCTGGTTTTCTCTGATGTTTTTCTCAGTTTCCTCTTTTTATGTTTCGTGTCTCTGCCCTAGATTTATGTTTTGTGGTTTGTGTAAAACTTTTCATAGATAAAATAGTCCTTTTTATGCTGATAGCATCTTATCTTCATTCAGCTCTATGGGTTCCATCTTTTTCCTCTTCCCCTTTTATGTTTTTGTTTTCTCAAATTATCCAGTTTTATGTTGTGAATTCCCAAACGGAAGTAGTTATCATTATTTTTTCTGCTTTTTTCCCCTCCTTTAACCTTTATGCTATGATAAAATATTTTAAAACCTACTCTGGGAACGAGTAACAATTTTCTGATTCTGTTTATCACCTTACTCAAACTTTTGAGTACTTTGCCTTTTTGTTTCTGATCAAAGGGCTCCTTTCAACATTTCTTTTTTTTTTTTTTTTTGTGGTACGCGGGCCTCTCACTGTTGCGGCCTCTCCCATTGCGGAGCACAGGCTCCGGACGCGCAGGCTCAGCGGCCATGGCTCACGGGCCCAGCTGCCCCGCGGCCTGTGGGCTCTTCCCGGACCGGGGCACAAACCCGCGTCCCCTGTATCGGCAGGTGGACTCTCAACCACTGCGCCACCAGGGAAGCCCTCAACATTTCTTATAAGACAGGTCTAGTGGTGATGAACTCCCTCAGCTGTTGTTGTCTGGGATAACCTTTATTTCTCCTTCATATCTGAATGATAACTTTGCTGGATAGAATATTATTGGGTGACAGTTTTTATCTTTCAGTATTTTGGGAATGTCATTCTGCTCCCTCCTGGCCTATAAAGCTTCTGTGGAGAAATCTGGTGATAGCCTAATGGTGATTCCTTTGTAGGAACCTTTTTCTCTGGCTGCCTTTAAAATTCTTTCCTTGTCATTGACTTTTGACAATTTTAGTATAGTGTGTCATGGAGAGGGTCTTTTTGCCTTGAGGTAATTAGGTGTTCTCTTAGCTTCATAGACTTGTTTATCCAGTTCCTTTCCCAGCTTTGTGAATTCTCAGTTATCATTTCCTTAAATAAACTCTCTGTTCTTTTCTCCCTCTCTTCCCTGGGATACTCATTACCTTAATGTTACCCTTCCTAAATGAGTTGAATAGCTCTCATAGAATTTCCCTGTTTTTTAACATCTTATTTCTCTTTCCTCTTCTCCTTGTATCTTTCTAGATTTCTATTTTTGAGCTCACTAATTCTCTCCTCCATGTGGGCTGCTCTATTTCCAAAACTTTCTAATGCATTATTTACCTTGTTTATGAGTTCTTCAGCTCTAGAATTTCTGTTTGATTCTTGTTTTGAGTTTCAATTTCTTTGGTAAAGCATTCCTTCTATTCACTAATTTTATTTCTCTGCTTTTCTGAGTTTTCTTACAGCTCACTGAGTGTCTTCATGACAGCCATTTTGAATTCTTTATATGTTAGATCCCAGTATTCCGTGACTTTAAGTTTGGTTTCTGGAGATTGTCATTTTCTTTTTGTGGTGCAGTGTTACTGTGGTTCTTCATGGTCCTTGATGAGTTGCTCCTCTGCCAGTGCATTTGAAGTAGGAAACACCTTTGTGCTTGATTCTGAGCTGCCTCTAGTTATATCTGAGAGTTGGCACTTTTCATCCTCCACTGCCTCTGTCAGAGGAGTGGCTCCATGTCTTCCTTATCATTTCTTGTGTCTCCGGGTTTGTTGGTGCCTGGCTGTTGCCAGTGTCACTGGCATTGCCACCTGGGGCACCAGGATGAAAGGCTTTTCTGCCGTGTCTGGGAATCCTTGAGTTGCAGGCTCTGCCACCACAAGGGGTAGTGGAGG